TTGTGTTTGTTGGGCAATTTCACTTATTGTAAGAATAAATACACCAATCCAAGTAACCAACTAGAGTGATTGAATATGCAAATAGATGGTCAAAGTAAAAACAAACAAAATGCAACCCCAAATTTTTACGTGGAAAAAACCCTCTAGTGTAGAGAGAAAAAAACTACAAGGCAACTCTGGCCAAATCCACTATAATAAAAATATAGATTACAATATTCAAGTTTATGCCCCAAAACTTGGATTCTCAACAAATTGGAAATTCCACAATAATTACTCTTTAAGGACAACAAATAATCTCACCACAAATCACCAATTTGATTAATCTTTTGAGAACTCACTTTGAATACTACATCTTTAGAGTACCCAAAATATACCCTAGAGAAAATTCCAATTTGTATTATGTAGATAAGAAAAAAATCTGTGTGAATCCACACCCAAATTGAAAGAAAAATCCTTTTTTCCCCCTTTTATTCCTTTCTTTCCAGCAGTATTCATGAGCAAATTTTCCCCTGCAGTTTCTCTTTAATTCTTCTGCCAGCAGTAGCCACAACCTTTTATTTCTCAATTGTAGCCATTGTTTTTTTGACCTCTCAATGGAAAGCCTCTATTTTTTACTTTTCTAATGGCAGCCTTTGTGTTTCTCTCTCACACCCAAGACGGCTTCATGGATGTGTGTGTGTGTGTGTGTGTGTACGTGTGTGTGTATAGCCATAATAGAGTGAGGTGAGGTTGTGGTAGTTTATCACTATAGGCACTGTTCAAATAGGAGAACCTGATTTGATTTCGGGATGTCTACTGAATGGATGTTGGTCAGTCCGTTGTTAGCTGGGGAAGGCGTGTCAAGGTGGTCTCGTTTGTAGGCTTGGTAAGACTTAGTCTATCTTATTTAACTTTTTTTTTATCGTGGTAAATTGTTATAATTTTATTGAATTTAATTATGTCATCTTTTTCAAATTGGTTTCAGAAGTCTAGAAATTAATTTGAAAATATTTCAAATGTTTTTCAAAATGAAGAAGAAATTGATAAAACATCTACATCATACGCATCAAATGATTTCAATAGTCATGAACTTCAAATTGCTCAAATTGAACAAAGATTGCATAACTGGACAATTCCAAAGGTAGAAAAGAATTCTATCTATGAAATTGGAAAGTTTGATTTTACTCAAAGTTATGTTATCAAAACCTTAGAACAAACATTATCTATCAAAAATCAAAATGCACATATCAATTTATTTTCAAAAAAATCAATTAAATCCCATAAGAAGAAATTTAAATATCTTCATGTTGAATTAGTTCAAATTGCTGTCAATCATTTGTTTAGACTTGGGTTAGACATTCTTGTTCTCTTAACTCTTTGAGATAAGAGACTCTTCAAATTTGAAAATTCATTATTATCTGTTCTAGAGTCAAATATAGAAAGTGGTCCAATTTATTGAAATTGTTATCCCAATTTTTCAATCAATATCAATGATGGAGCTATTCTTAATGCTCTAAATCTCCATATTCAAACTAAAAATTTCGATGTTGATGATCGTTCAAATGCTTTTGCTGTAATATACATGATATATTACAAACTCACGAATACTAAACTCAATATTGGTGATTTACGTTCATCCCCTAAAGATGAAAGTCTTTTGGTTGAATGTAATCCTTTTTCATTCAAACACCATGATTCCCAAGAGAATTCCTTGGAATCTTCAAACTCGTGGGCTAAAATGAAATTCTGAAAATGTTCAAAATCCTATTCCTGCTCCTATTCAAACAATTACTAATCAAATTCTTACTTTTCCTGATGAAAATGTCAAAATGACTTTCAAAGGATCTTCCTCTAGGTTTCAGAGATCTTATTTTTCTAGATCTGAAGATAAACCTAAGACTTCTTTTCAATCAGCTAGATTTTCAACATCTTCTCTTTCAGGTGTTGATTTCACTCCAAATATTCCAAAACCTCAATAGTTTGAAAAAGAAGCAGAAAAGGAAGAAGAATAAGATGAACCTGAATCTTCAACTTTTTCTGATATGTTTTCTCAAAATGATAGACTTCATCATCAAACAAATGTTATTTCTTCAAGTATTGAAAGAAGAGATAAATTCAAAACTGATCAAATTCCTGATGTTAAAAGTTTTCGAAAAATATTTTGTTAAAGCTTTTCAAAAGAAGAACGTGAATCTTATTGGGAAGAATTTTATGAATTCCCTGAAGATTTAAATTTTTATGAATGAGCTTATTTCAAAGTTTTTAACAGAAAGCCTACTTTTTCAAAGAAAGCAAAATCTATTCAAACTACTAATATTCCACAGAAGACTTGGAAAACTCCTTCTAGAGAGAATATTCAATCTCTCATCCTCTTTTACAGGAGATTGTAGTTCCATATGGAAGTACTAAAACTTTTGTTTCTCCTTTCAAAAGAATTTCTGAAGAACGACCTAAGGAATCTCAAGTTGTTAAAGATATCAAAAATATTCAAGTTCAAAATAACTATGCTAATGTAGTTCATCATCTGTATGTTCTCAAATCAACAGAATTGAAATAAATTCTGAAACTGAGATATCATCTTCAAAAGGTATAAAACCAATAGAGCTAGTTTTAATAAACAGGCATGAGGCCAAACCTAAAAATGGTCTCAAAATTGAGATTAATGTTCTCAAAGAACTTGCTACTTAATTATCAAAAATATCATCTTCCTCTACTTCAAATAACATCAATACTATTGATGATCTTGAATCTCAATTTATTGATGATGAAGGTCCTCAAATCAATAAACTTCAAGGCAAAAAAGTTCAATTTTAAAAAATTCCTCATTATTATCCAAAAAATGCTCCTCTAGATTTACTTTTTGAACAAAAGACAAAGATTCCTAGAACATTTTTTGCTACCGGTATAACTATCTAGAATATAGATGGTTTAACCAAATATCAAATTTTTGAAATTCTTCAAAGAATGAGTGCTTGTTATAATGCCTATATTTAAGAAGGACTTTCTCCAATTGAGTCAAGAAGCAATATTATTCAAGGTTTTGTTGGTCAAATTAATAATTGGTGGTTCAATTATATGACTGAACAAGAGAAAAATCAAATTGCTCAAGCTCTCAAACCTGATGGTTCAAATGATAGTTTTAATATATTAATTTTTGTATTGTCAAATATTTTGTTGGTTCTCCAACAGATGTTTTAGAAAAAGTTTTGTTCAAGTTTACAAGATTTTCGTTGGTATAAAAGCATTTTTTTACGAAAAGATTGTAATCAAGCTTATTGGAAAGAAAGATTTTTGTCTGGACTTCTAAAATTATTTCCTGAAAGAGTAAAAAATTCTATTAAAAAAGAATATTCAAATAATATTCCATATTATGATCTTTCGTATGGAGAATTGATATATTTCATAACAGAGAAGGATTAGCACTCTGTAATGAACTCAAACTTAAATCCAAATCGCAAACAGAAAGATTAGATAGTCGAAAAGAACTTGGATCATTCTGTGAATAATATGGATTTGAGAAAATTATTTCTCCATGAAAAACAAAATCTAAAAATTTTTCAAAAAGAAAAGTATTTTCAAAAAACCTTCTTATCAAAAAAACTATTCCAAAAAGAAATTTCAAAAGAAGAGATTTTCAAGAAAAAAGTAATGTTACTTGTTGGAATGTCAAAAATTTGGGCATTATTCTAATAAATGTCCTCTCAAAGGCAAGATTAATAATCTTCAAATTGATGAAGATATTAAGCTTCAACTTCTCAATCTTATTGATTCAAATTTCAGTTCTGATAATGAGTCTAACTCAAAGTTAGAACATGTTTATCAACATCTAGAATGTTCAGATGCTGAATCTAGTTCAAATTCTCAATCATTTTCAAGTCAAAATAAAGAATTTTGTGGTTGTAAAACTATAAGGGCCTACTTGGGAGTTCTATTTTCACCGGTAATTGGCGATTTTGGGAGTACCGATAATGGGGTGTTGGGAAAGCCGGCGATTGACAGTTTTTTTGGGCACCGATTTTGGGCGGTTTAAGAAACGCCCACTTATGGTGTAGTGTAAATTTGGACGGTTCTTTCAACCCCTCGATTTGGAGGGTTTTGGCCGTTTCTCTTTTTTTATTCTAATTTTATCCTTTATAAAATAATCATTTCCAACCAATATATTTTGTTTAAAACTAATTTGTAAATTAAAATACATTAACTAAAAAATTTTTATAATTTAAAAAATTATATTTTTAATAAAAAAATTATATTGTAATTAAAATATTACCTATAAGATAAAAAAATTATATTTAATCAAAAATTAATTATAAGTAAAAAAATCATTTTTATGTAAAAAAAATACTAAAAAATAAAAATACTACTAATAAAACAAAAAAATATTTATAAAATGTAAAAAATTACTTATAAACAAAAAAAAAAATTACATAAAGTTATTTAAAAGAAAAAAATTAACTTATATAATTTAAAAGTTACTCATAATTAAAAATATTAACTTAAAATTTTAAGTTAATATTTAAATTTTTATTTAATTTTTAAAATTAGATTTTAACTTTTATGAAAAAAATATTTACAAGTAAAATGTCACTTATGAGTAAAACAAATTAATATAAAAGAAATCTTTATTGAGGGCAAATACGTAATTTTATCATTTTAAAAATCTTTCAGAACCGGTGGATACTAAACTCCCAATCGTAGGTTGGGGGGTTTTAAGAACTGCTACTAAAACCGCTCCTCTCATAACCACTACTTTAAAAATCGCCTATTACCTCTACGACGAAACTCCCAAGAAGGCCCTAAATGTTTTTACTAAAGAAAAAGAACTTATTAAAGAGATTGTTGATCAAATCGAAGATCCACAATTCAACAATAAGTTTAATTCCCTTCTTCCTTCAAATTCAAAAGCTGAACCTTTCAATATGGAAAATGTTTAAGACGATTTTGAAACTTCAAAATCTTCTAGTTCTGATTTAAAATCAAAAGTCAATTTTATGAAATCTTAGATTTCTATTCTTGAACGTCAAATGAAAGATGTTAGAATGTAAGTTTCTCTTCTCAAAACTCAAGATAAGAAGCTAAAGTCAAAGATTCCTTCTCATTCATTATCTTCCAGTTCTTCTGGTGGAGAATTCAATTCAAGAAAAAATTTAAAATCTTCAAAAACAAATGGAAAAAGAGATTTGTTCTACTATTTCAATTGCTTTTTGGGATCATAAGAAACATGTGGTATCTGTTCCATACAATTCTAATTTTCATGAATCAAATATTCGTACAAAATCTCGTCCTATTCAATGAACAAAGAATTGTTAGATTTTTGTATCAATGAAATCAATGATTTACTTGAGAAAGGTTTAATTCGTTCGAACAAATCTCCTTGGAGTTGGTCAGCTTTCTATGTTAATATTCGGCTGAAATTGAAAGATGTGCTTTGCGTCTTGTTACCAATTATAAGCCTCTCAATACTGCTCTTCAATGGATTCGATATCCACTTCTTCAAAAGACAGATCTTTTGAATAGATTATTCAAAGCTGTTATCTTCTCAAAATTGGATATGAAGTCAGGTTGCTGACAGATTCAAATTAAAAAAGAAGATAAGCACAAAACTGCATTCAATGTTTCTTTAGGTCAATACGAATGGAATGTTATGCCATGTGGTCTAAAAAATGCTCCTTCTGAATTTCAAAAAATCATGAATGATATTTTCAATCCATTTTCAAATTTCATTATTGTTTATATTGATGATGTTCTTATATTTTCAGAAAGTATAGAACAACATTTCAAACATATCAATATACTCATGCATGTTACCAAGAAAAATAGTTTAGCAGTTTCTGCTAAAAAGATTATTTTAGGTCAAACAAAGATAAGTTTTTTAGGTCATATTAATCAAAATGATTTAATTATTCCAATTCAGAGAAGTTTATATTTATTGAAAAATTTTCTAATGAAATCTTAGACAAATCTTCTCTTCAAAGATTCTTTAGTTGCGTCAATTATATTGGCGATTTTATCAAAGAAATAAGGTTGATTTGTGCTCCTCTTTTCAAAAGACTACAAAAGAACGCGGACCCATGGAGTCACGAGTGCACATTAGCTGTCCAAAAAATAAAAAAAGCTGTAAAAAATATTCCATGTTTATCAATTATTGACCCTACTGCTTCAATAATTGTCGAAACCGATGCCTTTGATTTAGGCTTTGGTGGTGTGTTAAAGCAAATTCCTAAAGAGTCAAGTCAAGAACAGTTGGTTATGTTTCATAGTGGTGTATGAACTAGCTCTCAAAAGAATTATTCTACTATCAAAAGAATTATTCATAGTGGTGTATGGATTGACCCTCAAAAGAATTATTCTACTATCAAAAAAGAGATTTTATCAATAGTTTTATGTATTTCAAAATTTTATGATTATTTAATCAATAAAAAATTTATTCTCAAAACTGATTGTAAGGCATCAAAAGATGTTTTACAAAAAAATGTGAAAAATCTTGTTTCAAAGCAAATCTTTTCTAGATGGCAAGCTATTTTTTCTTGTTTTGATTTCAAAATACTATATATACAGGGAAAATCAAACTATTTCGCATATTTTCTTATGAGAGAATTTATTCAATCTTGAGAGAAAAGTGTGAATGATGAAATTCTCAAAAGTGGAAGGAAAAAAGAAGAAGAAAGTTAATAGTCATCTTCTTTCAATTGAAGACTATATTTCAAATTCACACGCATCTTCCTCCTCTCAAAATACTGCCCTTGCTTTAAAATTAACTCCTCATCCATATGAAATCAATGAGTCGAAAGTTACCAATTTCAAAAAAGCTATTCAAACAGGTACTAAAAAATTGTTAGAAATTAACCCCTCAAACAATTTCAAATATTTTACAAAAAATGTTCAATATCCAATTCTTGAAATGAAAAGTTCATGGCAAAAATATTCTTTTCTTGAAGCTTGTCTTTCCGATATTTTTCCTCCTAACTTCCATTACCTACCAAACAATATAAAAAAAAATCGTGAGTTCTATGAGGCTATTTTCACAAAAACAAAATCAGCCATTATTATGCACACTCCAAAAGACTCAAAAGATCTAAATTTTTCAAAAATTTCAATTCTTAAGGTTTAGTCTTACGAAGACTGGGGATAAAAACCTTGGGAAGAAAAACATATGAATTTACTTAATGGTAAATTTGAATATTTCAATTATCTTGATTACAAAAGTGCCTTGTTTAATGTTTTCTTTATTAGACCAGTAACTCACTCATGGTTTATTTTCTTTCATCAATTTTATAATCCTATTTTTCCAAAATGGTTTCAAACATGGTTCATATACTTTAGCCTTGAAAAAAGTATTTTAACCGTTCTCACTCGCCAAGGATATGAATACTTCAAAAGTGAGGCAAAATCATTTTTGCAGCCTCAAGAAAATCCTTTATTTCTATTTGCTCAAAATTTCAAAGTTTCCTGGATATTTTGTTGGAATTTCTTGCTTCTCCAAGCTGAACAAGAATATGTTGTCAAAAAGATTGTTCGTATCTTCAAAATGAAGTGGTCGTCAAAATTTCATGAAACAAATTTTAGCTCCAAAACAGTATATTAATGGACTCAAGAACAAAGAAATTTGGATTTACTAAAATTTTCAAAGAAAGAACAAGAAAAGCAAATTGATTTTCTAATAGAAAAATCTAGATTATTAGCTAGAATAATGCTTGTGGTACATTGTGCCATCCAAAAAGGTGTCCTTTGGCGCCTCGGTATTGGTCGAGGTGCAGGTGGGCCCCGGCGTGGCAGGCACATCGGCATTTTGGATACCACTTTGTATCCCAAGCATGATTGTATTAGCTATGTTGTCTCAATGCAAAACTTTAGAAGAATTAACGGCAGTTTCAGAAAAAAATTGTCAATCTTACTGAAATTTCTTAAAAAAGAACTCAATCGGATGCTGATTCAAATTACTTTCAAAGTACAAACAATGATGATGACTGCTATGAGATTGATATTGATGATCTTTTAACTCGCGAAGAACAAAAATGACTACTTGGACTCAGTTTTTTGGATGAATTACATTCTTAAAGGGCCCAAAAAATCAAAAGATATCATGTTCAAAATGTGTTTGCCACCTAATAAACTATTTATACTAGCTTTACCAATTCTAAAGAAATAAAGTTGGTGTGATTATTCAAAAGGTGATTCCAAATTTCAAAACGTGTTGTCTAACATGGGAGACAGTGGTGGTCAATCAAAGGAAAAGTTGATGTCAACTTTTCAAAAAGAAGAAAACTTTTCAAAAAGAAGAAAACTTTTCAAATTTTCCAAGTGGACGGTGCAATTTGTCAAAAGATGCAATAATTATTCCTTCCAAATTGAAGAAATTTTCAAATTCGGAGCTCATGATTTCAAGTATAAATGTTGACCAAGTTTTATAGAGTTGGGTGAGAAGGCGTGTTGGAGAAATCAATAAGTAGGGGTAGAGGTGACTCAACATGTTGACTAGGAATTATTCGTAGTATGGCTAAAATAGATTTCTTTTGAATAATAGTTTTTAAGTAACATGATATCTAGAAAGCTTATAGTTTTTAAAATTGGACTGATTGAAAAGTGACTACTCGAAAATAGTCTGAATTGATTTATATGAAGGAAACGTTAGATAAATGAACCAGTTAAAGATTGCTTGAAGCAATTGAAAACCGACCAAATCAGTTGGGTTTGAGCATAAACCCAATTGAAAAACTGGAGTCCATTATGGCATAAGTTAGTCAAGCAAAGTTTAGTCAATTAGTCAAGCAAAGTTTAGTCAAGCAAAGTTTGTCTTATTTATGGAAAAATTGAGTCAAGCAAAGTTAGTCAAGTAAAGTGAGTCAAGCAAAGTTTGTCATATTCATGGAAAAATTGGAGTCCATTTTTCTAGTTTTGTAGACAAACAAAGTTTGCCAAAAAATTGGAGTACATAATGGTGTGATGAACACTACTCCCTTGAGGTAACTTGATGTTTCAAAATTAACAGTCCATTATGTTCTAATGTCCATGTATGAATCAGATGTTAATTTCAGTAACGGGAGCTAATATATTGATTAAACTTGAAAGTAAATTGAAGTTCAATGATTTGATGGAAACAAATTAAAGAAGAGTGACCTAATTGAGATTTTCAACTAAGTTTAGCAACTAAAATGTAATTAACCTAAAAATAGAGTTATAGAGTGTGTTTGAGCCATATTATTTTTAAAGAATGTATTTTGGAATAGTAAATTAATGAAGAATGTTTGGTTCAAAAATAAGGAAAAATTTTAAATTTGCGTGTAATATTATTTTATTAAAGAATATGTGATTGAAATAATGTCAATTCGCTGTTTAAAAATGTATTTTTTTTCCAAATAATGCGACTCAAACAAGGCCATAAATGACATTTGAATATCCAAGCAAAGTAAATAAGAAGCCCGGCTTCATAATCGGTGAGGTTTTTCTTTAAATTCCTCCATTTACCTCTAAAATTTGCTAAGTCAGACAATACTCACTAACCACTAATAGCGGGTTATTACATTTTTTTTTTTTTAAATTGTAAATGATTTTGCACTAATGTATCGTATACATTTGCATTTACAGTTATGAAAAATTTGAGTTAAATTTTTTTTTTCAGTTACAAGAAATATAAAATACACCCAATAATCATTTTTTGTGGTTGATAATTTTACTAAGTGATTTGAGAAACATTTACTAATCCGAATGTGTTTTATTTCATTTTTTCGTTTTCTTTTTTCTTTTTATTGTTATAGAACTGGAACCAAATCGAAGAGTCTTTTGTTAGACAATTGGTTGATCAAATCATTAAGGAGACAAAATTGATGTATTTTTGGAATTGATCGACCATGCAAAAGGAGACTTTATTTATAGTAAAGAGGAAAAAAGAAAAAAAATTCGACTGAAACCGTACTAAATGACCTACAAAGTAGAGAAAACTAATGATTCTAATGCTAGACTCATAACTAAAGATAAAACGTCCGGCACTAGATTTCATATGCTCTGTTTCATCATTCATGAACCAAGACAGCTTCAGTCAACACAATCCTAGAAGCTCCATTCATGCCCACTTCTATTCCTAAGAGCCCATCATTTACTCAAGAAGAATTTAAGCTAATTATTTTTGGTAACCATAAAAACCTTCCTTCTGGCTGTCGAAAAAATAAAAATGAAAAGAAAACCTTCCTTCTATGGATGGAAATTCAAGCTATATTGCATAAGTCAAGTCAAACTGTTTAGGATTTAATTTTAAAGTTTTACACACATCAGGCTACCTTTATTTTCTTAAGAAAATCTCCACGTTCTACTGGAAAATATGGGAAGCCTTTAAAAGTTAATTATTATTTTTGGATTATTAGAACTATGTAACTTTCATTTGTGGAAAAACTTGCACAGTGTCCACAAAAGGTAAAGAAAAATCTCCGCCTCTAATGGAATAATTTTTTTGGGGGGGGGGGGGGGGGGAAAAGTGTGTTGGGGGGGGGGGGGGGGGGGGAAGAAAGTGAAGTCCATAATGGAATGATGAGCAGTTTGAGCACCACTCACTTGAGATAGAAGCCCATCCAACTCTTAAACCATAAATTACGTTTTCACTTACCTTGCAGGGAGCATTTATTTCGTGTGTGTATATATATACACTCACACTTGTATCAAATTCCACATTACAAGCCTCTCCCAGTTTTCATTCTACATTTCAAATTATCCATGGGAAAGAATATGATCTTTACGTTGGCAATGCTTTGCTTGCATATAAACTTTGTAGCATCTCTAAAAAGCTCCACAGACGAGTATGCTCTTTTAGCCTTCAAATCTCAAATAACTTCCGATCCAAATAATATCTTTGCTAAAAATTGGTCACAAGGAACCTCATTCTGTAATTGGGTTGGCATTACTTGTGGGAGAAGACATCAAAGAGTTAGGGAGTTGAATCTAGCAGATATGGGTATAGGAGGTACTATTGCTAAAGAAATCGGCGAACTCTCTTTTTTGAGATCCTTGATTATTAGCAACAATAATTTCCTTGGATTTATCCCTGACGAAATTGGTAATTTAAGTCAGCTTCGAGAAATAGATATGCATGACAATGAGCTGAGCGGTCCTATTCCAACAGGTCTCGAATTTCTTGAAAATCTACAAAAGCTAAATCTCTCCTATAACAGACTCCATGGGGAAGTTCCTAATAGGATTTTCAACCTCTCTTTTTTGACGGGAATTGATTTAAAAGGCAATAGTCTCCTAGGAAGTCTTCCTACAGATATCTGCAATAATCTTCCAAATATGGAGTGGCTAAGAATTTCTTATAATCAAATAAGTGGTAACATTCCTCCAAGCTTGGGAACATGCAAGAAGCTTCAATATCTTTCTTTGGCGTACAATGATTTTTCTGGAAGCATTCCAATGGAAATCGGAAACTTGTCAAAGCTTCAATATCTCTATCTAACAGGAAATAATTTGATAGGTACGTTTAAAGTGGTTTTCATATACAAAAATCTCCCAAAACATAATGTTTTCCAAGAAATTGTGAAATTGAACAATATTGTTAATCATTCACATCATAGCTATTTCATACATTCATAGTGACCTGTGTATTGTTGCCTATTGATTACGTCATTTTACATAGCTGCACCAAAAATTAAGTATGTACTTACCCCACGAAACCTCAATTGTGCATTTTGAAACTGGGAACCTATTTTGGCCCATAAATTATTCATGCAAAAGCATGTAGAAACATTGACCAACATACCCCTTTTTAATTCCTACCTAAAGAATTGAAGTTGTCATCACACCCTTTTAAACAAAAAAATGATACAATATTCAATATGGCTTGATAGCAGAATGAATAAAATTAGTTTTGACAAATATGTTTAAACATGTATAGCATTTTCCAAATAACTAAAATCGTCGTAATAACATCAAATACTGAGTACCCAATCAGCATGCAATGATGATGGATACTGCTACATTTAATAATTAGTCAATATTTTATATTTCATTATTAATTGGATCTAGTTTACTTTTAATTTGTTAGATTGAGGACCTTGGATGCAATTTCAGTTATGATTAATGATTAGGGATTTCTTTGTTAGCTGCAAAGATGAGCTTTGTACACTGAAATACTTTGATTAGAAAATTATAAAGTAGTAAGAGTTTTTCTTCAACAATTTCCACCTAAATTTAGGGTTGGACATGGTCCAGCTCGGTTCTAACGAGAATTGAACTGATCCGAAATTTTCGGGTATTTAGTAAGTGAAACCGTCAAGTCCAAATTTAATTATGGAATCGTTCGGGTTCGGTTCGGTTCTGGGGTTTCGTATTATAATTATATTTTTTAATATTTACAAAGTTACATTACTTCAATTAGTGATATGTTTAATCTTAGCTCTTACAAAATGATGTAATCCAATCTTACGTGTCTTTTGCGTCTTTCTTTGCTGAGTTCTTCATAGATTTGGTTATTAAAATTACAGGAAGAGAAAGATAGTGAGTTCAAAATAATTAAGAGAGATTTTGTGGAACTTTAATTCAGTTTTCTTTAGTAGAAATGATACTATAGTAGGGTAACAGATTTGGATAAAATTGAGGTCAATTTGATTAAGTCCTTGTTTAAGCCCATTTTTTGGAAAGAATGAATTTTTGAATAGTGTAAAAAATAAGGAAAAGTTTCAGAGTTGTATGTAATATTATTTTATTGAAGAATGTGTGATTGAAATTATATCAAAACACTGTTGAAAAATATATTTTCCAAAAGAATAGGGCTCAAACAAGGGCTAAGTTGGCTTTGAACTGAAAACTAGAAATAGGAAAATAATATTTTTTGGTTTGAACTAAATTAACTAGTTAATAAACATATTCAGAAAAAATAAAATAATTTTACTTATTTAAAATAAATGAATTAAAAAAATTGGGGAGATTCAATTTTTATTCGGTTCTTCGAGTCTTGGTCTAGAATCGAGAACCGAACCGAACTGTACCCATCGGTTCTCGATTCAAATACTTGTTCGGATATTTAACTTGAGAAGAACTGTTGGGTTGGGTTGGGTTCGGTTTAGGAGCTTTGTCCAGCCCTACCTAAATTGGTATCAGGCTGAATCAATGATTTTTCCATCTAAACCAACTATTCGGTATACGATCGCAAATCAACGAATTATTGATTTTTTTAAATTCACAAGCATTGTATGAATAGACATGTTTTTAAGTCCATTCTCCTTTTCCTGCACTGCATTATTGTTTATTTGATAGTTTAATCTTCTAAATTAAGTGATACATCATTCATCGGTCATTCTATAATCATTCTTATTTCAATAATAAAATTTAGAAACACCAATATTGGAATTTAAAACCTTTATATTTTCAATAAAATTAACTAATTCTGGTAAATTTTTGAAATTTTAAATATTTGGCTTTTGGATTTCAATTTTTAAAATCCTGAAACGTACTTACAGGAAGCATTCCATATGAAATTGGAAAACACATCAGTACTTCAATATTTATATTTGGATACAAATATTTTAACAGACCTATGTGCCTACTTATTAGTACTTTTTGTATTTATTAATTTGAATGCATTGACAAACTCTAGAGTACTCCACAATACAGGTAAAATTCAACATTCAATTGGCAGTTTGTCAAATTTGAAGACATTGTCTATTTCTATTAACAGTCTTCAGGGTCAAATACCAGAATCCATCTTCAATCTCTCCATGTTAAAATCACTTGATTTTAATACCAACAGTATATCCGGCAATCTTCCATCATCAATTGCCAATGGGCTTCCTGATCTTGAAGGTCTCTATCTTGGTAGCAATCAATTGAGCGGAGAAATTCCTGCCTCTGTTTCAAATTTTTCTAAGCTTACTCTCTTGGATTTTAGTGGCAACTCCTTCAGCGGACGAGTACCCATGAATCTTGGAAATTTACAGAACCTACAGAAACTAATATTAGATGGTAATGAGTTGACAAATGATCCTTCAATGCTCGAATTGGATTTTCTTATTTCATTGACAAATTGTAGGAATTTGAAGATCATACGGATGGGATTCAATTCTTTTCACGGAATATTACCAAAATTGTTGGGTAATTTGTCAACATCTTTCGAATCTTTCAATGCCGATTATTGTGGCATTAAAGGTGTCATTCCTAATGAAATTGGTAATATGAGCAACTTGATCGAGTTAGGCATTGAAGGCAATGAATTGACAAGAACAATCCCTGACACATTGGGTCAATCAAGAAAATTACAAAAGCTGCGACTTGGTTTCAATAAACTAGGGGGGTCGATACCTTTCAACCTTTGCAATTTGGTTTATCTATATCATCTAAGTTTGAGCAATAATACGCTTTCTCAACAGATGCCAACTTGTTTAGGAAATCTTACATCTTTACAAGAAATTTATTTAGATCACAACTCATTGACTTCCACTATCCCATCCACACTTTGGACTAACAAGGAAATTCGGATTTTGAGTTTAGCTTATAATTTGCTGAATGGGTCATTGGCTTCAGAAATTGGAAACATTATGAGCATGAGAGAGTTGAATTTATCTGGAAATCAGTTTTCAGGTGATATTCCAAGCACCATTGGGAAACTTCAGAATTTGGAAAATCTAACATTGTCGAACAATCAGTTACATGGTCATATACCTGAGTCGTTTAAGAATCTGATTTCATTGAAAAATTTGGATCTATCCAAGAACAATCTCTACGGTGTAATCCCCAAGTCATTGGAAAGACTTGAGCACCTTGAGCATTTCAACGTTTCGTTCAATGAACTTAGTGGTGAAATTCCATATGGGGGGCCTTTCAAAAATTTCAGGTCAGAATTTTTTATAGGCAATAGAGAATTGTGTGGAACATCTCAATTTAAAGTCAAGCCATGCAAAAATAATACAACTAGATTATCAAGCAATACCAGAGTTCTAAAGTACATTCTACCGCCAGTTGCTGTTGTATTGAGTTTGGCCATTATTGTGGTTTATGTAATAAGACGCAGTAGCAGAAGTAAAGTTCTGCTAGCTCAGCCCACTTCCCCCATCACTATCAAGAGAATTTCATATTATGAAGTTCTAAATGCTACCAACAATTTTGGTGAAGAGAATCTTATTGGCGAAGGTAGTATCGGTTTAGTGTACAAGGGAATATTTTCAGATGGAATGATAGCTGCAATTAAGGTTTTTAATCTAGATTTGGAAGGTGCAAACCAATGTTTTGATACTGAGTGCCAAATATTGTGCAACATTCGTCACAAAAATCTTGTCAAGATAATTACTAGTTGCTCTAACCTTGATTTCAAAGCCTTGGTGCTGGAATATATGCCTAATGGAAACCTTACAAAATTGATATCCTCGAGCAACTGTTTCCTAAATATGTCTCAAAGATTGGAAATAATGATAGATGTGGCAAGTGCACTCGAGTATCTACATCATGGGTGTCCCTTTCCGATTGTTCATTGTGATTTGAAGCCCAACAACATACTTTTAGATGAAGACATGGTTGCCCATGTTGGAGACTTTGGCATTTCCAAGCTTTTAGCTGAAGACCAGAGAATTTCAATTACCAAGACGTGGGGGACCATTGGATATATGGCTCCAGGTAAATGATTTTGTCAACTACTTATATATATTGTTAAATGATATACACTATGTTGAATTATTATTAAAAATAATTATGGCCTGTGCAATTAGTTTTATACTAACATATGCAGTGCGATTATGTAAATTGAATAAATTGCTTTTGCGGTAAATTTAGTAGAAAGAGTTCAAGAACTGTCGTGAATTGATAATCATGACATACATAGTAAAAAGATAGTAATTGGTCTAATGCACACAACTAACCATTGGTTTAATACAAATGTATACCCACGAATTATGTGAAAAGTAATCATTGGTCCATTGGTGAAAAAAGATAATCACGACTTGAAAGATAACTCTATGCGCATAAAAAAAATATTACTATATTTTGGAGAGGATCATACTGACAATGTATAATAAAATAGAGAGAAAGGGAGAAGAAAGTAAAGAAGTCAATAGACTTTTGTGTATTTAATTGAGAACCAAAATTCTCATATTTATAGGAAAGAATTAGGTCTGTAAGAAATACAGTAGTCATAATTAACATACAAGGGTATGATGTTCATTTGCCAATAAACATATAACTTACAACATAAGTGTAATTAGGATAATTATATTTCCATAACAACTTTTATTATTTACACCATATTCTAATTTTACTTAAGGTCCTTAATATTTGCTTAATATAGCATTTATTCTCTATTTTTTTAAATGAATTTTTATCCTCAACATTTCATTAATTAGTACACATCATCTTTGACAGCTGTTTTTATCAAAACAATTCTTCGGGAGGACGTAAGGCAATATATATATATATATGCAAAAGTACGATATAATACATTTTTCCTCATTTCAAAAGCATGTGAACATATATTTTGACATAAATCATCATCAAGGATCAGATGTGTTGTGAGGTGATGGATATTGAAGATAAGAATTAGACGAAAAAAGTTAAGACTATAATTGTTATAATGTCAAAATATTGAGGACCTTAACTCCAATTAAAATGTGGAGGTAGAAGAAAAAAATTTGGTGTGAATATAATTAGCCATGTTATTAACTATTATATTGCTTGCTTGCTAACATTATATTAGTGTATTAGTATTGGTTCTCATTTATTTATTTGTCGTTTGACATTTCCCATGTTAATTTGATCACATATGCCAATTTTGTAGAGTATGGATCTACGGGATTAATATCGACTATGGCAGATGTTTATAGTTATGGGATTATGCTAATAGAGATATTTACTAAAAAGAAGCCGACATATGATATGTTTGTTGGAGAGTTCACAATGAGGAAATGGGTGTTTGAATCATTCCCCGATGCAATAATGCAGATAGTGGATGTTGATCTAGTGAATCTTGAAGACAATATTAAAGCCAAAGAGATCTGCTTTAGATCAATCATGGGACTAGCACTAGAATGCACAGCTAACTGGCCCAACGAGAGGCTCAATATGAAAGATGTTCTAACAAGGCTCAAGAAGATCAAAACTGAATTTTGTAAAGCATAATACTGAGGTGGATTAAGATGAAGAGGTTTGTTTCTTAAGTAAATTTGCTTTTTCCATCTCGTAAGAACACAAAAAGGTAAACATTTGAGGTAAAATTTTATTAATGAAATCAAAACCCATTTTCAGTTTTAGTTGTCATAGAATCCAGTCGTCATATTGACTACTCTTTAAAACATACTTCAGTCATCTCTCATAATCTTATTATATCTTTCTATAAAAACTTGGAAATCATTTTTGGCTTCCGCCATTGTTTTACGGCATGTTATTATTGTGAGTTACTTCTGTGTAAGAATAACATGATATCATTACGCGGGTGATACTGATGAGATGATAAGCAGTTGTAGCATTTTCTTTTAATTCTAAATTATTATTTTAGTAAAGTTGCAATGTCCTATTTGGTTTTGTTTCTGATGACATTCTTCCTTTCTCTGTTCACATTTTTGAATGAAAAACGTTCTCTTTTCTTTGAAGGAAGGAGCAGACCATCTTGAAGAACTATGGAGAGTTTCTGACTGCTATGTTGCATTCAAGCTATTCTCAATCGTCAGAGTGCCTCAAGGCCTACCCTTATACAGATAACACTCATCAGTTATTTTGCAAACTGTCTTTTAGTCATTAGTAAGTAATTTTTCACCCACAGATGAAGAAGTGAATTGTGCTTCTGTTTCTGTTCATCTATCTTCACATAAGGAGCAATTCCCAGCAAGGGACATGTTTATAATGGTATTCCGAATGAAAACACAGTGTGATTCCTGCTGGATAAAAAAGCTGGTTTTCATCTCTTTCCTCTTTTTTTTATTTACTATTGCTTGTGAATCAAAGATCTAACAGGGCCATAATTCAGAAAGACAAATGCCAAAAACTGCAAACAATCAAATTACTGACCAAATAATTCAGAATGTCATAGTTTACATTGCATTATCAATGATAAATGAATTATGTTTCCTTTCATTTCTTGACTTGTGAAGGCCTTAAGCTCTCCACAACGGGAGACATTCCCACCATGAGACATGTTTATATTGGTATTTTCTGTTGGAAATTTTTTTCGAATCTTTAATAATTTTGTTCCATTAGGATTTTGAAATTTTCATTTTGATTTTGTCGTGTCTTACAAATGAGAAACACTAGAAATTCACTAACCATAAATATGATACGTGAATGAAATAATAATTGAATCACATCTTATAGTTTCCTGTTGATTTGCGGGAATATCAATTAAGATAAACATGGAAGACTACTTGATTTAAAGATAAATGAAAAATTGAGACAATAGCCCCACATGCATGATCTTTTTGCTCTGTGTACAGGCATTCTTGTACAACCCTAAATTAGTAAGGGCACTTCTGGCTTTTAATTGCGCCTGTACTTTTAAGGTCACTTTTATTACACAAGTTAGGATTTCTTTGTCAACTCAAAAACAAAAACAACAGTGTATATATGTCTCTGTTCTGCAAGTCTGAAACCATCTACGTCTCGAATGAAAAATATGTTTATGTTGTGAAGAGGGATCGTATGCTCTGGTTACTGCCAAAACCGTCTGCTACTGCCAAATGTCATTGGATATTGTCATTGAAGACCTCATCTTCATTAAAAATCTTTGTCACTGCAGATTGCTAAAGCACATTATTTCTAACAATTGTGAACATAGTGAAATGAATTCTGGTAGATGAAAACCCATATCATTTCGAGGGGAATAACTTGTGGGGATAAAATGGTTTGATCGAATCTTTTTTGTTCGCCAGAATCACTGGTTGAGATCAACTGGTTTAGCCGAATATTTTCCATTTTTCCCTTATTTGGGTAAGCCAAAAATTATAGATAGTTTGTACGGATGGAGATTTTTTGAGCATATTTGAATTTTTAATTTGATTTTCAGAAGATTTTGTGGGTAATATCTTGCAGGAAAAATGGTAGAATTGATTTAAGAGTGAAACCTACCAAAAAATAAAAAAATTTAAACAATCGGAGGTAATTTCCAGTAGATGCACTACTGATTTGAGATGGCCAGGACTTTTCAATTTGATTGCTATTAAAACTTCATATACATATATAAAATTCTGAAAAATACACAAGTGAAACCAAAAAATTCTGAAAATTAGTAACATTGAAATTCTGAAGAGGTAATAATGGAATGTTATTTTATATTTATACAGTATCCCTTACATTAACTATAGTCCCCTAGATTTTAGGAAGCAAAGCCTAATTTAATAGTTCTTTTATACAATTATAGTGTAATTTATTGTATATTTTGTTTATTAGGCCCTTGTTTGAGCCGCATTCTTTCATAAATATGAATTTTTGAATAGTGTATTGATGGAAAATGTGTAGTTAAAAAATGAGGAAATTTTTTGATCTGCGTGTAATATTATTTTACTGAAAAATGTGTGGTTAAAATGACGTCAAATTATTGTTTAAAAATGTATTTTTTTTTCCAAAGAATAGGGCTCAAATAGGGGCTAGGTAAAACTGAATGATTGTGAAAGTGGAATTGAAAGAAAGAAGTGAAATATGGCGAAATACAAGTTTGGGGACCAAATTGTAAATATCCAATGGTTGATTTAGACCACAAGTGATACTTTGAAAATTGTTAGGAGTAAATTGAATGCAACTAGAAGTCAAAAATGAATGAAATATGATCCTAATATTATCATAAATTGATTTTCAATCTTATAAGATATCTTCTAGATTTTTAATCAAAGATTGAGACCCATTTTTGGCATAATAAACTTTCAAATGGGAAAATCTCTACAATCAAAATTGTAGCCCTTTAAGTAATCTTTCCAATGCACTTTAAATCACCTCAATTAGATATCAAGAGAGAAAATTATGACCAAAATATTGATTGCTGTGTAGATACATAATATGCATGCCTAGGCAAGTTTCTTTATTTGGTTGAAACTCCTTTGGAAACCAATTTGATGTGATCTTCAATCAATTTTCGACTCCTACAAATACCAGATAGTAGAATATGTTAAGAGAACTCTACTATATGTCTCTCATACTCCAATATTCATCAATTATTATCATCAGAGAATTGAAGGGGATTTACAAGAATTCAATTAAGTGAAGATTCAAACTTGAGTTTTGGGCAAAGAAGAGAAGGTATAACTGGAGATTCATCAAAACAATATTGAAGACATTCAAGATTTCAAATTTCACCTTCATCTTCTCAATTTATCAAAAATTGGGGTTATATCTTTCTACTTAAATACGATTTCTTGTAATTTCGATATGTTAGGTTGATTTTATATATTGTTATGATGAGATAAACTCTTTTCATGATATTTTTAATTTTAATTAATTAATTTGACTTTAAGTTGGTTTGATATGTGGATGTTTATTTTAGTTTTCATCATTCTTTTCAGTTGCTTGATTACCCATTGAATTGTTCGTTATCACGAGAGACAGTAGGGTTTAAGCATAATATAATAAAGATTGCAAGGTTCGATAGATGAATAGAAATATGCCTCTATGTTTTATATGGTTTCAATAAGTATTTTATCACTTGTTAATGCATTAATTATGTTTGTATCTTTCATCGAGAGATAAAAATGTCACAAGAGGGGAATGTATTTAATTGCAATCGAGAGAGGCTTTCAATTAAATTAGGAATGTCACTTCAATTGTTTTACTAAACATGGAGTAATTAGGGGATTCGACATCATAGTAATCATGTCACATATTAGATCAGCACATTTACTTGCTTTCACTATTTTAATTAATAATTTAAAGAATATTATAGAAAAATTAGAAAACTTGTTTGCTATTCGATTAAAGTTGCAATTATTTTTAACTCGGTCAAACATATAGTACTCGTGGGTTCAACACCCTATTCACTACTTTATTAGTTGTTCATGATCCCATACACTCGTGGAAAATTAAACGATCAAGTTTTTTGGCACTGCTGTCGAGGAATATTGTTTTCGGTAAGTTTTAGTTAATTTTAGCTTTAATCTGAATTTTACTTTTTTAGTTTAGTTTATTATATTAGAAAAACTTTACAGTGTTTCTTGCTTCATTTTCAGACCTTGTATATGAAGTTTGAGAACTGATGATATTGCTCAATTTGATTTAGAGATCGAACGAATATTCAACCTTCAAAGAAGACAACAATCGGAAACACGTCAAAAGAGAAAGAGGAAGACGTGCCAAACGGAATTTCAAAGTAAATAGCTATCAGGGCTAATTTGGAAGTAGCACAACTGAACGTGGCTATAGCTAGTGAAAATGCAAAGCTAATGGGCGAGTACATGGTTTCATCGGTTGAGAAAAGCTAGTTTAGAATAGTATATCTAGCATTTGGTCATGCTAATGTTTACTTGTAGATAGATATCATAAACATGTTTTAGAATGCTTTGCAGTTCTTTGGGAGTGCTACTGAGAATCCCAACACACTCATATATCAAGATTCTTAGACATGTGTGCAACAATCAAGTATCTAGAGATTTCAAGCGAAGTAATCAAACTGAGACTTTTCCCATATACATTGAGAAACTCATCCAAGAGTGGTTAGATATTTGTCTACCAAATAGCATCACCACATGGAACTAATTGAGTCATAAGTTCCTTAGCAAATATTTTCCGCTAAAAAGAATTGAAAAGCTAAGGGATGAGATCACTACTTTCCAACAATAGAACTCATAATGCTATTCAAAGGCTTGGGAACGATACAAAGGTTTACTCTGTCAATTCCCACAATACGGATTGTAGAAGTGGCTTTAGGCGCAATACTTTTACATTGACCTGGATCCAATTAGTAGAGCTAACGTAGACTTTGCATGCAATGGTTTTATCACAAAAAGAATCACGGATTAGGTCTACCAAATCATGGAAGACTGGGTATTTACTAATTACTAGTGGACTTTAGCTTACTGAAAAGGCGAGTGGAATGAAGGTTGCTGTGGTATATGAAGTTGATTTTTTGACAGTAATATCAACTCAGTTCACATCATTAGCACAAAAGGTAGAACATATGAGTGCAACTCAAATAGACCGAAATGCAAGCATTATGGAGGGAGTCATGAGAGTGTTGACTACATTGTAGGTAGTCCTTTTGTTTAGTCAGTAAAGTATGTAAATTATGCTAAAATTTTTTAAAGATAGCAATACAATTAGAATCTTAACACGTATTACCCAGATTGGAGACATCATCTAGGTTTTCAGTGGAGAAATAATCGGCAAGCCCAATTGGCACCACAATAGATTGTATTGCTAGGACAAAAAAGAAGTCTTTGTTAGCAGATATTGTTACTAAATTAGTGGAGATCTCGACACGGTACATACAAAGAACACATAAGGCTTTGCAAGTTCAGGGAGTTGCCATCAAGTATTTAGAAAATGCGATGGGATAAATGGCTAAGGCATTCTCAGAAAGAGAGCTAGGGCACTTCCAAGCAACACTAAGACAAATCCCAAACATCAGGTAATGGTTGTGAGTTGTGGAGAAAGAACAGATTGAGACAATCACTATACGCAGTGAGGCTCAAACTCTAGAAATTACAGTTGAGAGATAGGTAGTAGTGAATAAAAATGTGCCTTGATGTGAATCCATGTAGCAATGGTAGTTATGAAACCCACACAAGATTGATTCATCCTAAGAAAGCCAATAAATCAAAGTTTAGAGTTTGATCCAAAAATATTGAACCAAAGAACCCATACAATCTTTGACAATATATTGACCCCGTGATCACAAAACTCAAGAATCTCACTGGATGGTTTGAACGCCATAAGAAATAAATATTGATAAGTTCGAAAAATTATTTCAATGAAAAACAGAGATT